TGACTAATTTAAATGGTATGATCTTACTTGTGTACACTCAACTTGCAAGTTATACATGTGAGTTACACGTGGGTTAGTTTCCATACAATCTTTATCAATGGCTGAACTAACTTTATTTGAAGGCTCACTCCTACTGTATATCAGAACCTAATATCATATACCGGGTATATATATATTTTTTTTTTTCTTGCAGACTGTTGTAAGTCTTGGTGGAGAATTGGTAGATTCTGTTTATGAATGTACACATCTTGTCACAGATAAGGTGAGTTTGGTGTTTTTATCACTGCCAATAATTTTCATGTAAGATTAAATTTACTTTTTAATGTTGTCAGTTATAAGCTCTTTCATTGTCAATTTTGGATAACTCTGCCAAAAATGAAATCTGCGTACTGTAATTATGATACCATAGTCATTTTGTGAGTAAATGGTGGAGTAATTTCATTAAATCCTAAATTTATACTATTTTTTGTTTTGCTTTTGTTTTATCAATCTTAGGTGAGAAGAACTGTGAAGTTTTTATGTGGGTTATCACGTGGTATTCTTATCGTCAATTCACAGTGGTTAGAAAGCTCAAGACAAGCACATAGATTTCTTGGTAAGCTTTTTATCATTGCGTCTGTAGATTTATAGTAGTTTATGTTGTTTAACTTCAAAGACACATTTGCATAATTACTGCATTCTTACATGCTATCAAATTAGTGTCACCACTTTATCATACTTGCATCGCACTCGTGACCATGCATTTTAGAATTCAATCAAATTTTGTTTTCAGTTCCCTGTTCAGATGCATTTCAAAAGGTTGATTTGGACAAACTTATTGTTTGGTGTCAACATGTTACCAGTGTTCAGTTGAGGACTTGGTTGTAGTATTTGGTTTAGACATGTTCGAAGTGGGAATACCTGTGATTTTGAACTTTTTTTGTTAAATATAACCCCATAAAGATGACCAAATCTTATCAAAATATTGTTTCAGAAACAATTGCATGAGCAAAGTTACCCTAAAAATTATAACACGCGATTCACACTATTATGGGAAATGACACAGAAAATCATCAATGAGAGGCAGTCAGAGAGAGGCTTAGCCTTTCAAGATGGCAACTTATTTAACATTTCACTCGAGCCCCCGGTAAGTGTCATATGATACAATAACTGTCACTTGTCAAGCACGCAACCCTGCGGCCATCTTTTTTTCTTTTAAAACTGATTAATGTACATGTATAATGTTGGTATATAACGTTTATGCTATGCTTTCAGTGTCCACTACAAATTACTTTACAATACTGACTTTCAGATGCCACGTCATATATTGTTAAGGACAATTCAGCCGAGCAGCAGTATGGCTTCCAATTATCCGAGTCTAGAGAGAAAGCACTGAATGGTGGAGTGTTACAAGGCTATAAAATACATGTGACAAGTAAAGTAGCCCCGGGACCACAACAGATGAAGGATATTATCAAATGTGCTGCAGGAGAGGTGGGTTGTTGTGAAAGGCATATTATTTTAATGTTTGTTTTTTTTTGCTTTCAATACCAATGGTAAGACTCGGTCTTGTTACATGGTGACAAACAGCAAACATTGCTTTCAGTTTTTGGCAATATAGAGAAGAGTTTTTTGTAAAAAATAAAATACATTTCATTTTCATCATTAACATTTGTATACAGTTGGGCCACCCACACGTAAGCGCCCAAGCATGCGAGGGGGCGTAAGCTGTACGATCGAGGCAGCAAAAGCCGCATCCAGTTCACAAAGGTTTTATCATATACCTTATATAAAAAAAAGTCTTTAGTTATGTTATTTTTCGCTCGTCTGGCCCAAAAGAAAACCTATTCAATTTAATCTGGGTTTTGATATGGGTCGTTTTACTGGCGCGGATTTATATGGGGGATTCTAAACAATGCAAACGCGTCAACAACTCCAACACAATAGACAAACGAATGTCACCAAATATATCCACAAATTACATTTTAATGGAACAGCAAATGAACGTAAATTTATAACAATATTTTAACGGTAGTGAATACGAACTCATTATAAACTTTCTTTCT